TCTTTTGTGTCCTCATCTCCTCTTCTGTTTTGTGTCTTCATTTCTTCCTCGTCTCTTCAGTATCCTCATCTCTTTTGTGTCCTCATCTCTTCAGTGGTCTCATGTCTTCTGTGTCCCCATCTCTCTTGTGTCCTCATCTCTTCTGTGTCCTCATCTCTTTTGTGTCCTCATCTCTTCAGTGGTCTCATGTCTTCTGTGTCCCCATCTCTCTTGTGTCCTCATCTCTTCTGTGTCCTCATCTCTTTTGTGTCCTCATTTATCTCGTCCTCATCTGTTTTGTGTCCTCATCTCTTATGTGTCCTCATCTCTTCTTTGTCCTTGTCTCTTTTGTGTCCTCATCTCTTTTGTGTCCACATCTCTTTTGTGTCCTCATGTCTTTTGTGTCCTCATCTCTTCTATGTCCTTGTCTCTTTTGTGTCCTCATCTCTTTTGTGTCCACATCTCTTTTGTGTCCTCATGTCTTTTGTGTCCTCATCTCCTCATCTGTTTTGTGTCCTCATCTCTTTTGTGTCCTCATCTCTATTGTGTCCTCATCTCTTATATGTCCTCATCTCTTTTGTGCCCTCATCTCTGTTGTGTCCTCATCTCTTACATGTCCTCATCTCTTTTGTGTCCTCATTTTTTTGTCCTCATCTCCTCATCTGTTTTGTGTCCTCATCTGTTTTGTGTCCTCATCTCTTATGTGTCATCTCTTTTGTGTCCTCATTTCTTCTGTGTCCTCATCTCTTTTGTGTCGACATCTCTTTTGTGTCCTATTTTTTGTGTGTCATCTCCTCATCTGTTTTGTGTCCTCATCTCTATTGTGTCCTCATTTCATATATGTCCTCAACTCTTTTGTCCTCATCTCTTTTGTGTCCTCATATCTTATGTTTCCTCATTTCTTTTGAGTCCTCATCTCCTTGTGTGTTTGCGTCCTCATCTCTTCAGTGTCCTCATCTCTTTTGTGTCCTCGGCTCCTCTGTGTCCTCTTCTCTTTTGTGTCCTCTTCTCTTTTGTGTCCTCATCTCTTTTGTGTCCTCATCTCTTCTGCGTCCTTATCTCTTTTGTGTCCACATCTCTTTTGTTTCCTCATTTCTTTTGAGTCTTCATCTCCTCGTGTGTTTTGTGTCCTCATCTCTTTTGTGTCCTCAGCTCCTCTGTGTCGTCTTCTCTTTTGTGTCCTCTTCTCTTCTGTGTCCTCATCTCTATTGTGTCCACATCTCTTTTGTGTCCTCGGCTCCTCTGTGTCCTCTTCTCTTCTGTGTCCTCTTCTCTTTTGTGTCCTCTTCTCTTCTGTGTGCACATCTCTTCTGTATAATTTTCTCTTCAGTGTCCTCTTCTCTTCATTGTCCTCATCTCTTTTGTGTCCTCTTTTGTGTCCACACCTCTTCAGTGTCCTCATCTCTTTTGTGTCCTCATCTGTTTTGTGTCCTCATCTCTTTTGTGTCCTCTTATCTTTAATATCCACATCTATTCTGTATTATTTTCTCTTCTGTGTCCTCGTCTCATTTGTGTCCTCATCTCTTCTGTCCTCATCTCTTTTGTGTCCTCATCTTTTTTGTGTYCTCATTTCTTCTGTGTCCTTAACTTTTTGTGTCCTCTTCTCTTTAATGTCCACATCTCTTCTGTGTCCTTTTCTCTTCAGTGTCCTTGTCTCTTCTGTGTCCTCATCTCTTTTATGTCCTCATCTCTTTTGTGTCCTCTTCTCTTTTGTGTCCTCGTCCCTTTTATGTCCTCATCTCTTATGTCCTCATCTGTTTTGTGTCCTCATCTCTTTAGTGTCCTCATCTCTCCTGTGTCCTCATCCCTTTTGTGTCCTCTTCTCTTTAATGTCCACATCTCTTCTGTATCCTTTTCTCTTCAGTGTCCTCATTTCTTTCGTGTCCTCAGCTCTTGTCCTCATCTCTCCTGTGTCCTCATCTTTGTTATGTCCTCACCTCTTTTGTGTCCTCATCTCTGTTGTGTCCTTGGCTCTTCTGTGTCCTCTTCTCTTTTGTGTCCTCATCTCTGCTGTGTCCTCATCTCTTTTGTGTCCTCATCTCTTCTGTGTCCTCATCTCTTTTGTGTCCTCATCTCTTCTGTGTCCTCATCTCTTTTGTGTCCTCATCTCTTCTGTGTCCTCATCTCATTTGTGTCCACATGT